CTGGGCAACATTTATGCCACTTGAAAAGTTTGTTAGTATGGTCATTAGTCATTGTCATTATTTGCAGTAATGATACTTTTCCAACAATAGATGTTACTCACCAGTCTAAAAGAAAAGTTGTGAACTCGACATCAAACCACATCTCTTGTGTTTCGCCTCTTTTCTTTGCCGTAGAACGTGGTTTCTTGTTGGGAGCGGTGCCTCAGGTTGTTTCTGTGAGGCATCCTTATTGAATTATCAAAATCTTGCCTCAGGCGTTTCATTGCATGCAGAATACGCCCCTATGAGCTTCTGTCTGACTGTAGCACGAATGTTAAAGGAGGAGAGCCCCCCCCCCCCACACCACCGACACCACCTATCCACAACCAACATCTAGAATGACGTGTATAGGAAATACAGGAAAACAAGTCAATGATGGTTTGTAGAAGACCAGAAAAAAAGGATCCATCACCCAAAAACCTGTTGTTCTGGTGACACACCAAACAGATGGATCTGGTTCTAAGCCTGAAATCCATATATGATTTTTTTGTAATTTTATTTAAATTAAATTTAAAAAACATGTTACACTGTATGTAAAACATTAAATTTTTCAAGTGTTACATTTTGTTTGTCCCTAACATGAGAAACCATATCTTTCACTTTTTAAAATTTGTTTGTAGACGAATGTTTTTTTCTATCAGGAGAATAGTTGGAATAGAATAGTCAGTATTACAACCCTGTACTTTAAAGAGACCCTATTATGGCCATTTTCAGTGTTAATCATTTCATTCTTGGTGTCTACTAAAATAGATTTAAATGCTTTAATGTTCTGAAGACTTTATTTTTCTTCTTCGTTACATCTTTTACTGTCCTCTATTCACCCTCTGTCTGACAAGCTCTGTTCCCTCTGAAGCTGACCAGAGCAAACTGACCAATCAGAGCCCAGTGTGCTCTGATTGGTCAGTTTGGGCAACTACCATGGCAACTATACGTCACACGTCTTTTTAAACAAACGGCTTCGGTCTTGTTTATAGTTTTGAGCAAGAGTCCGACTCTGAACCAGAAGTTGACAGACCTGATCCACCTTTACAAGCTGGACTGGAATGAATTAAACTTTAGTGCGCATAGTTACTGAAAAACAAACTCAGCGGTTAAACTGTGGATAATTTATCTGAGCTAACGAGGTACAGCATGTCAACACTGACAAACGTTTAAGCATTTATATCTTCGCTTTGCTGCTTCATACTAATGTGATCAGGTCGCGGTAACGTGGTTAACATCACAAATCCACAATAACAATGTAGGCTGACAGATTGTGAGCCTGAGTGTGAAGTGTGAATTACAGAAATAACTGTTGCCAGGTAGCTCACCTGGTAGAGCACATACCACATAGCAGCAGCCATGGGTTTGAGTCCGACCTGTGACCCCTTGCTGCATGTCATCCCCTCTCTCCCTGGCTTTCCCATCTAACTGTCCTATCACAATTACAAAGGCAAAAATGCCCCCCAAAAAAAGTGTGAAAATGATATGTTTAACTGTACTTCTGAAGCAGTCCTCCTTGATGTGCAGGCTCGCATCATGTTTGGAGCAGTAGAGAACTGTAACGGAAAAATAAAACAGATATTTGCAGGCAGTTGAGGACAGTGTCTTTTCAGCATGGCTACAAGACTAAAGAAAACTCTTCATTATAAGTAGTAATGTGGGGGCGTGCAGGGGGTGTCGAGGTTGCAGGTGGGCAGCACCAACGGAAGTATTGACATCAATAGGACCAGGAAGTAATGGCTGGGCCAACGAGGCACTTCATACAAAGGAGAAAATTGGGTTTATTTGGGTTTAGTTACTCCCTTTGGTGTAAACTGTGATCCTTGTGACTCTGGAGACCATTTACATGCACAAAAACCTATATAAAAAACACACTAAAACTCATAAAATGAAACAGGTGTTGGTAGGACCCAGTTGCAGCACAAAACACCACAGGTAAGATTGGTAATGACTTATTTTACTTTGACTTATTTACAGGAACTAGGATGAGCAACAGTATAGTCCAGGTTTATACACAGGTAAGTAGTCACTTGGGGTGGGCCTGAGCTGGAGAACCGTGGGCCAGGTGAGTGGAGCGAGGTGACTGAGCCCACACACAGGGGAAAGTTCATGGACCCGGTGGGGGGGAAGAGAGAGAGAGAGAGACACGGACAGACAGACACACATGCGCACACACACGCAAGAGTTTGTAGGAAAGCATCGGAACCGTTAGGGAGTAGGCTGGAAACATCATCGAGGGAACAGGAGGATCGAAACCAGGTGAACAGTCAGTGTGGCAGACGAACCAGGAAGCAGCAGAAAACAAGCTTACCCACTATCAGGCAGCTGGAAGGAAGGAGAAATATGAAAAGTGCTGCGAATCAAGACGCTGGACACTCTGCAAAGACTTCGGATGACATTATTCATAACTTGGAATACTTTTATGAGAAACCCTGTTGATTCTTTTAAGTGTGGACACTTCCGGACTAAAGGAATATAAATAATGGAGGAACAGACAGACGGTTGACAGGTAGGGAGTCTCCACTGCTTCAGCTCCTGCTGATTTAAGATGCCGGTAAATCTGAATGAATTAAACTTTAGTGCAGAAGAGAGAGAGAGACACAGACAGACAGACACACACGCAAGGGTTTGTAGGAAAGCATTGATACCGTTAGGGAGCAGGCTGGAAACATCGTTGAGGAAGCAGGAGGATCGAAACCAGGTGAACAGTCAGTGTGGCAGACGAACCAGGAAGGAGCAGGCAGGCAGGTAATCAGAGCCAGACGAATGATCAGGACACCACCAGGGCAGTAGTCACAAGACAAACCAATGAAGACAGCTGGTTTGACGAAGCAGGAGTCTCTAACGGTGAAGATCCCACAGGTAAGATGGTAGGGAAACTCACGTTGCAACGTCAGAGCTGGAGAATACCAAACAGCCACAGGGACAGGCAGATGGGAACCAGGAAGTGCACAGGCGGAACTCGTGGCCGGGGACAGAAGGCTGAAGCGCTTAGCGGGGCAGAGACGAGGCAGGATGGTCAGAGATGAGCAGAGTCAAAACCAGGAGGTCAGTCCGGAGATGAGTACTTGCATGAGTACAGAGAACAATCTGGCAATGAGTGAATGAACCAGGGATGCATATATACTGGCTTGATGAGTGATGCAGACAGAGGTTGGGTAAGTGCAAAAACATTAAAGCAGCAGGTGAAGGCAGAGCAGGCTGTGACAGAAAGGCATAATAGGTCCCCTTAAAATTAGTCTGGGCTGTGTTATACAATATGCTGTATTACACAAGTCCTGCCCTCCTTTTGTAATGTGAACATGCAGAATACTAGTTGTTTAACTTGTATCTAGTAAGTATTGAAATGCTTGTTGACATTTGATATTTAAAAAAGTGGATGGTGCACGCATTGATGGAATCCCACATTTTCCTGTGTTGAACTAGTTTCCACCTTCATTCATGTTCCAGTGCTGGATGCGCATTGATTGATATGTATTTGATAGCCAATGCTCTTTACCTTTAGGGGAATAACCTGTGTTTTTGCTATTTAAAAGGCAGCTACACTGTATGATTGTGACGCTGATGAAGTCCAGGCGGCTGAAGTTTGTCTTCTGTAAATAAAGTGATTTCTTGTCATTGACTGGGATCCTCCTCTGTCATCATTAATTCATATTGTAAGAAGAATGCATCGTTTCAGAGCCCATAACCCAACCAAAATGTGCTTTCTGAACATGGCCACAGCTCTCACTCTGGTTATATAAGTCCAGCCCCTCTCCAGGACACTAGCTTCACATTCAGTTGTGGAGTTGAGCCCAGCTATCGCTCCACCTCCTGCACTGCTCTGGTTCGTTCTCCACCAAAGATGATCCACATCAGTACAACCAGTTTAAAGTACTTGGTTCCCTACCTCTACCTGCTGCCCGGGTGACAACGCACTCAACCCCCAGTATGTATCCCTGTGGGTGATTGGCCCTATACATGACTATATAACCATAACAAGACTCCAGCTGAAGACCTTTTATTATGTCTCTCCTTTACACATTCCATCAGCTCCAAATATACTCCAAAATGCATGTTGCAGCTCAGTAAAGATGAATGATGAATGTTTCATTTATTTCTTGAGTTGTGATTTGATTTTTGTATTTCAGTTTCTTGAAGAGAATAACTGTGAATCATGTCTCATGGTCATTTATTTAATAAAGACAGAATGAAGCAGGGCAGCTGACTCATATGCAAGTTCAAAATATGAAATACTTTTTGTACTTGATTAATTTCTTTTGTCAAGACACACACACACACACACACACACACACACACACAGAGAGAGAAAGAGAGAGAGAGAGAGAGAGAGAGAGAGAGAGAGGAAGAGAGAGAGAAAGAGCGAGCGCCAGAGAGAGAGAGAAAGAGCGAGCGCCAGGCAGTGGACAGTACAGATCTGGTCTTAGGGGTTTTCAGACTAGATCAGTTGGCGGTTCTCCTACATCAGCCCATCCTCCACACCAGCAACAACACACGTCTGATAACTTTCGTCATTGTTCTATTTTTTCCCCTTCTCGCAGCACGAGACTGTCTATTCCCACAGAGCAGCGCAGCAGGAAATCTGGAGGTCTGAATGTGTGCAGCTCTGGAGATCTGGATGGATGGTTGGGCGGAAAACTGACAGGACCGCGAAAACACCGTAAAGCGGACGTGGCGTTCAGCCCCGGAGGTTCTCTAACTACTGTTGAACAGGTGGAGCTTTGGAGTTGAACAAAGTTTTAACAGGATGGTGCGAACGTGATGGGATATCCTTCATGACACACATGTAGTCTGGTGTGGTCTATTGGATTCACAAAATCCTGCTTGTCAATTCAGGTTTTCACAGGAGTCTGAACATTAGGATGCTTAGGATGCGATTTTTCATCTCCCAATAACAGAAATATATTTGTCACGTGAGTCTATGGGAAAAGTCCAGTGGGCACTTTTATGTAAAAACCATTTGTGTGAAACTTCCCGCCATGAAGGAAAAATGCAAGAACGCGGCGAAAACGCGGAGAGAGAAGGAGAACGGAGAGTTTTATGAGCTGGCCAAGCTCCTGCCTCTGCCGGCGGCCATCACCTCCCAGCTGGACAAGGCCTCCATCATCCGGCTGACCAGCAGTTACCTCAAGATGAGGGCAGTCTTCCCCGACGGTAGGAACAGCGGTAGACACGCAGAGATATTAACAGATACTGAAATATTATATAAAACCCAATGTATGTAGATTCTGAGGAGTGAAGATGAGACAACAAACAAGTGACGAACATACATAGGCCTACATACTAAGCCTAACCCTAACCGATATATTTGTCTTTAGCCAATGCAATACACTCAAAAACACAAATATCAGTAACACACTCCACACGTTTTTATAATAATAATAATCATAGTCATAGTAAATCCATAACTATTTTCTTTAAGAACATTTTACCCACAAAATCACGGAACATTGCCATTTTCCTTAATTAGATAATTATCAGAAATTCAAAGTAATTATTTTTTGCATTCAGTTTTTTAATTTGATATAGTTTGTGTATTTACAGAGCCTAGTACACTAATATTTTCAGAGAGAGAATACAGCTGTCCCGTAGAGGAACAGCTCTGTGGCCTAAACATCCAGATAATACACACACACAACACACAAGTCAAAATGTGGAGAAAGGCATTTATAAACCTTCAAATTAAGCACTACTGTAAAGCGTTTAGAAGTAATAGCTTAAGAATTTATTAATGATTAATAAATTATTTTCTAATATTTTATAGGCTATTGCTCGTTAAAAACAGGACGTCCATGTGAACATATGAATTATTTACCAACGGAAATAGGCCTAACTCACTACTAAAGCATAGACACCATCCAGAGGGATTTTCATAACCTGGACAGTTGTTCTTGTTAATAGCTTTTAAAGCAAATGATTTATTAACTGACTGTAACGTCATAAGTTCGAACTTATAAACCCGTTTTGTGCCGTATTAAAAAGTGGTCTGTCTGCAGATTTCTACCGCTTCAGACTGATTTAATAAACAGTTTTTACATTTTAAACTTTAAGTTGAAAAAAAGTCACCTTCCCCATAAAACATCTATGATGACATTTTGTTTGGAGCCGCTGTACCACATTATGAATAATAGGATAATAATAATAATAATAATGATAATAAGAAGAAGAAGAATAAGAATAAATAATAATAACTACGACAATAATTATTATAATAATAAGAATAAAATGAATAATAATTACTACTACTACTAATAACAATAATAATGTATTTAGCCTATTTTATAATTAGCTCCTCTAACTCTTATTAGCTCAGTGGTAAAAGTGAAAGCGACTGTCCGGACCTTGCCCTCTTCACAGAAATAACTTATGGCTGTCTAAGTAATTTCGTCAATCAGGTGTTCTGGAAGTTTGAAGTTGTTTTCTCAGTCTGATTCAAATCTGGTGTCTGCTTCAGGCGCCTCACTCATTCATCAAGGTGAATTATTTCATTAGGCTGCACGCGGCTGCAGTGGGGCAGGTTAGAGGGCAGGAAAACAGAGCCTTTCCTCTCTGTCATCACTCATAGAGTCAGACTGAACACACGGCCCTTCATGGTCGGGCCACCCATTAGTCCGCTGAAGTAGGCTACAAGCTCTTTGTCCGAGATGCGACAGCAGTGTCAGCGCTGTGCACATTATTCACTCGTTCATCCAGTCAACATCTGATCCAACAACGTGCCTGAAGAATCCACAGATCCCCGGGTCTGTTCTGTGGTAAAGTATTTACATTATTTACCTGTGACGCGGTCAAACACCAGAGAGACATACTGGCCGAAACGGAGGCTTGCTCCCGGTTCCGGTCTTCACGGTCATATATGAATATAGCATTAATCATGTAGACCAACAGGCATTGATTGATGGGATGCATTCTGTGGAGGTGCGTGGAGCTCAGAGGGAGCGCGTGAGCCAACGTGTTGTTGTGTCAGTCACATTTACCTTCCTCACACCTGCTGACGGCAACACAAATAATACTCCATTAATACCAACACCTGAGGTGGATAATAAAGGTTTTCACCGGCGGACCTGAACACCGTCTCACTCTGCACCCCTGGACCGGGTTTTCCTCAGGCCGCCGGGAACAACAGAGCCGGCTACGGCTGAAGGCGTCTCACTGCCGAAACTACAAGCATGGATATTTAATGTGTAGACAAAGCCTGAGAAGTAGATGATAGGTCTGACATATAGCGGACACACGCACACACACACACACACACACACACACACACACACACACACACACACACACACACACACAAAGAAAACAAACAAAAAGACAGGTCTAATAAAACAACAAATCAATCTTAGAAATATGGATTGATGTGTGATATTTGAATGTGAATAAGCTACAATTTATGATAGAGTAGTTTTATTAAAGCATTATTATAGTTTCTTTGCTAGTAATTATGTACTTTCACCTCTGTTGAATTTATGACATGTTTATTTCACTCACACAGGTTTTAAATGAATGCATGGTAGACTTTGATGGTTTTATGGCAGCATTTATTTGGTCCTTTAGTTGTTTAGTTTGCTTCATTTCGTATTTTCCAGTAGCTTTGGGATGAAATTATACTGATGTGAAAAGCAGAATTGATTTTATAATCTGACCTTCTTATTGTCTGGAATAATCTGACAATATTTGATATGTTACCGGTTAGACAGTACACTCAACCAAATATTTATCTTAGATCACTTTAACTGTTACCAGTGTATTTTGGAATTATTTTTGTGGGAGAGACACACATGCAACAGCAGCAGCTGGTGATGGAGTTGCACAGATTCTGAAAACATTGTTGACGCTGAATTCTAAAAAATAATCACTTTTTAATGGGGGCCCCTCTTAGCTCGGGCTTTTGAGTGGCTGTTTAAGTGGAGCAGCACGGCAGATACAGGGGCTCTGAATATAACCGTGGATTATGTAGAAAAATTTAGATTAACAGTGTCAGGCAAAAACATTTCCTCCTGTCCTTCCTGATCGATGTCAGATCTTCTGTTCCCTCCAATGTTTTCCTTGTTCCTAGCTGTTCCCACACACACCTTTATACAAATATTTATTTCTACCAAAAGCACAACATGGATTTGGTACGATGGAAATGTAGAAACTGAGCTGACGTTCAGTCTCTCAGCAGCTTTTATGAAGCGTGTCTCAGTTCTGTGTCCCAAAGCAAACCACACTTTGTCAAACACGTTAAAATTCCTCCTAGCTCTTCTGGGTTTTGAGTGTGTCTTATGGTCTTCTCCAAGTCTGCATCTGCTGTGTAAGAAGTAAACATAAAGACGGTCATATCAGATTACACTGCTCAGAATGTGGATACAGATACACAGTAGATCAATGACATTTCAGCAACTACATTATACAACATTTGGCTTTAAATAATAATTTTTCATAAGAAAATACACACCTTCACCTTCGCAGCAGTGACTTTTGGGAGATGTGAAAATTAAGGAATGTTTGCAGAAATACCACTTGAAAACAGTCTTCACCTCAGAGAGTGATTGTTCATATGGAAATGTAACTCAACCTACAGCCAGTTTTTACCTTCTATAAACAATGCTGTGCCTCAGGTTTCCAGCAGATCATTGTAATAGTGGGAAAATGGCATCTGAACAAAGTAAAGGTGTCAGAAGTCAAATAGTTATTCTAAGCACAGAGGAGCTCTCTCAGTGTCAGATCATGGCTGGTCTACAGGTTTCTAAGGGGGCAATGCAGAAACTGGTCAGTTGTATCCAGACAAACCAACTGCATCAGAAGATCAATACATTAGGCTCAGTCCACACAGAAACTTCATCACAGAATTTGCGGACAAGCAGCAGTTTTTAAACCATACACTATACAAATATTAAGGAAAACCAGAGAGGAAGTTTTATTTGGTCTGTTGTTAAGTTGTCACATATCTGCAGGCCTATTCAGGTGTATCAGTGTAATATAAATACCATTAAATTAGATTTGAGGTGGTCTCGAGGACTTTAAGAAGACCACTAACCAAGCTGCAGCTGTGGTTACCTCTACACTGCTTAGTGGAAATGGAAAAAGACTGTACCACCATTTCATGAATGCTGCTCACCTCCAACATCTGAAGCCGACCGCTCTTCAGCCACAACAAAATATCTCATAAAAATAAGAAATGGCAGCTTTTTCTTGCATAGAATTGGACAAATGTAAATGTTTTTGTTTTGTTTTTGGTCTTTTGATTGTATGTATGTGACAGCTGCGGAATTGACTGATGATTGTTTGCTGATTTATATCGTAAAAATGTAAGAGAAATATAATAATACATCAAAATGATTACAATATTACATTTCCAGTCTCTGACATGTTCTGATATATATATCTATCTATATATAGATATATAGATAGATATATACAGTATATCTATCTATCTATATATATATATATATATAGATATACTTTTTTTTAGTGTCATGTCAGAGAGTGAAGTACAGAGTAGCAGCTCTTTAATGTCTTCACTGTCTTATGTCTTTATTGTGTTTACGTTGCATGGTTTTACGCTGCATAAGAGTTTCCTCTTGTAGTACTAAAAAGATCTGAACTGAAGTGAACTGTTGCCATCAGCACCACAATATATCGATATTTGGGGTCACAGTTTAATTTAGTTGAAACCTGGTCACCCCATGGCAGTGCTCGCACAGCTGCTCTCTCCACAGGTGTGAAAGCCTGTGCCTTTGTCTTCTTTTGTTCCAGTTTGTGTCTCTGACAGTTACTGTGTCTGTCTCTGTAGGTCTGGGTGATGGATGGGGTCAGTCAACAAGGTTCAGTCCTCTGGACAGCATGGCTAAAGAACTGGGTTCCCACCTTTTACAGGTACAGGAAAAAACAAACTGTGTTCAGCCCTGTGTGTGTGTGTGTGTGTGTGTGTGTGTGTGTGTGTGTGTGCGCGTGCGTGTGTGTGTATGGATGGTATAGGGACGTGTCCCTACCAATGTTTTGGGAGGACTGAATTGTAATGTTCACAATGTTTGGGGTGAAGTCATTAGATAATTCCAATGTGCCCTCCTAGAGGCTATGTCTCCAATATGACTGATTTAATCAGGAGCTTTTTCACCACCTGGGCATCAGTAATAGGTAGTAAACTAACCAGACAGCAGCCACACTTATTTAAAAGGAAAATCTGCTATAGCTACCAAACATCACCAGCCTTTTATTATCAGATTGTTGATACTGATGCATCACTGGATTAACAGCATTTTACTGTTGTATCTGGTGAAGGTGGAACTACTTTTAAATGTGAAATCAAGGGAAAAGGGGAACTGCAACACTGGTCTACTGAATGTTCATGTTGGATGAAAAATGCAAAAATACTGTTTGCTTTTTTGTGTGTGTGTGTGTGTGTGTGTGCGTGTGTGAGTGTGTGTGTGTGTGCGATTGTGTGTGTAGTTCAGTCCATTATGTAGGCCTAGTTCAGTGCGTTGTGCACCTGTATATCTTGATAATTACAACAGTGAAATACTGCGCCATTGACTTCAGGTATTTCCTGTCTCAACATATCAATGCGCTCACTTATCACTCCTCATCTTATGACCAACACACCCATGGGTGCTTAGATGGGTGTATTTGCTATTTAAGCAACGTGGGCGCTGAATAGGAAAATGAAACCAGCCTGGTGTGAGGGTGTCTTTGAGTGATCGACCGACCTGTCATTCTCTGAATGACAGGTCGGGAATGGCTCAGTGCGCTTGTCTTCTACAGGCCTAGTCTTTTCAGTTTTGCTCAGCTTTCCACTGTCATTCTCTGTTTTCAACCAGCGGATGTGTGATCACACAGAAAGAAATTATAATAGCCTACATTTGATTCCGATTATGGCGTTTGTGACAATTAGATAGAATAAAAATTTAAGTAATTTGCGAGGAAAACATCTTTTTCATCTTTGTTCATTTATTTATGTTATGTAAAACATATTGTTGTTAATTTATAGATAGATAACTGAATTGATCACTAAACAATATCAATCACAGTCATTAAAACACTTTAAAAGAAGTGAAATTACAAAAGTCAAATGCTTGAACTGACACGATATGATATTTTTGGTCCAGCCCTGTTCTGTTACTTTATTACTATTCTGTACTGACACTTTAAAATAAATGCAAGTACAGTGCAAACATTGTCGTGATAAATGTCAAGCACAAGAGGCCAGCTTCTTGCTCAAACCGTGAGAGGATGTAAAACTGTGCAGCTGCTGTAAGCAAGTCTATGGTCTGGTTCAATCAAAGAGACGTCCTCTGTACATAAATGGTCTGTATATAGCCCAGGCAAATCCTGGGCCTAACTTTTGATTATTTGCGCACATTAAATAATATTGCAATTTTGCTTTATAAATTACTCATTTGTACCCTCAATTTTGAACTGTTCTTTAAAACCATAAGAATTCTTGTGCACAATTCGTTGCTTGTGCTGTTATACAGGGGCTGGTTTAGATTACATTTTATTCCAGTTTAAGAACTGGATCAAACAAATAATAATCAGGCCTACAATGATGAAAGATATGTACTGCATCTAGAAAAATATGCCAGTAGAAAAATTGTTAACACTTACACTCACAAGCCTATAATTATATAGTAATTACATGGTAATTCTGTAGTAATTTGAAGAAATTACCAAGAAGTAACTGTCAAGTTGGCTGTTAATTATGTATTAATTTTGTGGTTATGTGAAGAAATTGCCAAGAAATAACAGTCAAGTAAAGTCAGAATAATGGCAAGTTGTAGTAGTATAATTACTGAGAATTACTGTAATATATTGGGTAATTATTGAGTAAAATTGAAGCAGAATAAAGAGGGTTGGTCTGTAATTATATGGGAATTGTTATAGTAAGTAGTATAGCCCACATACAGGGTAAGACAGGGGGGTTGTTTCTGTATCAGCTACCATTAATATCGATAGCATTAATATTCTTTATTGCACTGTGAAGACAGGCTGTTAGCAGGTGATACCAAGTCTCATATTTTAACCGTCAACCGTTAACATGGTTGCCGCCCAAAATAAACGCAGCAGCCAGTTTCCTCCACATAGCCAAGTACTTCCAGTATTATAAACCTAATGTATTTGTAATTTCCACAGTCCTACCTTTCAATAAGCCAAGAGGAGTAGTAGTCACTACAACAGTAGTTTATGGCGACTGCTGGAAATGTCACTGTACTTAACCCATAATTACTTTACCACTGCCTGTAAAGTGTAAATGTAATAAACAGAATATAATTTAACTGAACGTATAAATAAAAATATGTGCATGTTTACAAAATGGTCCAATGTCTGTCACAAATGATATTTTTAATTATAATTTAATAATTTAACAATTATTATTATTAACAATTATATATTATTATAATCATAATTAATGGCCTGTAAATTAAAGGGTTATCAAAAATCAACGTTTTTCTGATTTTAACAATAAAGCACCAGGCTTTGATTTGACCGGTAGAGCTAACCTTCTTGGTGGTTATGGTGGGCTTCGGATTTAACCAGTATTAGTATGATTTTCCCTTATCTCTTACAAATTATATTCATATGCAAAATATATTTTGAGATTACATGATTCTGTTGGATTATATATCAAACACATGAGAATATATGTAATATCTACAAAATGTTCATGGGCAATATTTGTCAGTGCAGAATATTTGTAATATAATTTGATAAGTCTGGTCAAGATGTTTTCACTGAAAAAAGACTAAATTTAAAATTTTCTAAATGAATCACTATAATATTAGATTAGATACAAATGAGTAACTGAGTCATTCACCATCTGTCCATCAAAATAATTAATTTACAGAGCATTACAGAATTTTTGTATTATTCATTTACATCACATTTTCACCCATTTTTAGAATTAGAAATAAAGACATGTACAGTTAACATCCAACAGATGTTTTCTTAATGAAAACTAAAAATAAAGAGTAGTATATAGTAAATAATAAAAACTGTTGACTAAACTAAAAAAATTATAATTTGGTGCAGCTGCATAAAAACAAAACTGCAGGAGGCAGAACTGGAACCTCTCACAATAATGATACTATCCATTCTTACATTATATGGACAAATGTATTGGAACATAATCATTAACATTAGTAACTTCTTTGTTACATCACTCAGACTCTGGACGGCTTCGTGTTTGTGGTTGCCTCTGATGGTAAAATCATGTACATCTCAGAAACAGCATCAGTCCACCTTGGCTTGTCCCAGGTAAGACCCTCCGTCCCCTCAACAAGCTGCGACCATGATACAGTAAGTCTATTCTACTGAAAAGATTGATCTGGAGATAAAAACACAAGTCAACTGTCAGATGAACCATTAGTAAATTGCAAAGACACGTAGTTATACAATAAGAAAGTACAATAAGAGCAAGTAGACAAATGTAATATATCTACATATATAAAAACTATTATTATATGTGAAATTATATATGAAACCTATTACAAATTGGAACAATTTCATATATTGACATATATGTCTAGCTGATACAAATATGTATGTTTATGTATGTATGCTTATATTGTAGGCATATGTAAATATATATCCATCTCAATGCCTGTCAATATATGTTGATATTATATACAGTAGGGTCCAAAAGTCTGAGACAACTTTCCCAGAATGGGAAGAGACATGTTTAAAATTAATGAGAAATTAATAATAAAAACATAAGCATGTAAAGTTTTTATATGCATGTTGTTTTAATAAACTTGCATTTATAAATTGAAGATATATCATAAAAATATATGGTTGCAACATATTATACCATATAAACATTAACCCTAGACATTTTTAATATATGTACATATACACATTTGGGTATGGGTAATTATGTTATAAATCTTAATATATCCTCATGTATCCAGAGGATGTATATATGTGATATGTGATATATGCCCTGATAGGGAACATATATGGCAACATCACTCTTGATATAGGGACATGTCATATATTACATTTCTGTATGGGACGTAACAGTCATGCATGGATTCAGTTAGTTTCAAAGTTTTGTTTTGCATTTTGGTTGATCAGTTGTGATGTAGCTGATCACCTGCTGGAAATGTGTGTGCTGCAGGTGGAGCTAACAGGAAATAGTATATTTGAGTACATCCACCCATCAGACCATGATGAGATGACAGCGGTGCTGGGTGTTTGCCAGCCCCCAAACCATCACTTCTCTCCAGGTACTTAGAGAATAGTCTCAGTGTCAGTCTCAATTTATTCTCATGTAGTGGCTGGGGTCTTCATTTATCTCAACAGCAAAGAGAAAAATTTGAAACAGGCTTATGTTAGAGACAGGCCTTTATTAGCTAATTCCCCATGTACCCGTTGTTTTAACAAGGCCAGTATAACGTACACTGCAGTAATTCCATCAGTCATGTCATACACACTACTCTGCTGCTCTCCGAAGACTGAAAGATGTGGTAAAAAGCCCTGGAAATGCAGTTCAGTTCAAAAGTTCAGCTTGAGTTAAGGGTTTTCTGACAAAGAAATATTTTGATGCACATTAACCTTTCCTACATGAGTTGCAGTGACAAAATTCTGCTGTTGTACTGTGGAAATATTCATTATACTGAAATTACATAGGAAGCTATTACAGTACAGATAATTCCCAGCTAACTGCTGAGTAAGAAGTCTGAATGAGGAAACATTAATGTTATGAGTCATTCTTCTTACTGTGATGAATATGAATTTTGCGGATTTATTTGAGCTGATGGACCTTTGTTTTTAGATTGTCAAGTCTGAGATGATGTTGTCATGATGATGTCATCGGGATTAGGCTAAGGGGTTAGATTAGGTTTAGCTCGGTCTTGGAGACAACACATTTTTAACAGAACTGGTGCAGTGGCCTGTTGCAAGGGACTTGTTGACCTGCATTAATCCAGCCTGCAGCTTTCTTGAGACATAATCCAAACAACTTCACACGGAATGCTGTGTACGGAAGTGAAAAAAAGTGTTTGTCTTTGTAATACTCAGTTTGCCCACAAGAGGCTGAAAGTGCACCACAACCCCAGTCTAAACAGGACTAAAACACTTCATGTGTTTTTTCCAGGTGATTTAATTTCTACATGTACTGTAAAGACAAGGTACATATATATTGTGTGTCAGCAACTTATGTAACATTATTGTCATGTCTTTGTTTTGGCTAGAAACGTATTTTTCTTTTGGCAAAGTCTTTCTGCTAGAGAGGCTGGAAGGCAGGTGACATATGATAATGAGCAGGGTGTAGTGGATGTGTGGGTTAAACATCGGACTTTCACCCAGGAGACCTGGGTTTGAATCCTCTTATATTTATTGGCTGAGACAGAGACAGAGAGAGAGAAGCAAACAGCTGTTTCCATGCACCTTCCCCTGCTGACTGTGATTATTGTGAATCATAGTCAGACTGGACATCGAGAGCACTGGGAGAATTCCCACATGTGAATGCTTTTAGTCCTGTTCAGACTGGGGTAATGGTGCACTTCAGCCTCTTGTGAAAACAAACACCTGAAAAATCCTGACAAAAAAAAAAAATTCAGTTGCTTCTCAGGGCTTCTGTATCCTTGGGTTTTCAGCAATACACAAAGTTTGAATTGGATCAGATGAGCGGTTGTTGAGAAAATTGAAATACAGATTCCTCCATTCACAGTTAGAAGGCTGTGTTACAAACTGGTGGTATGGAGTTTGAAAGACATGGGTGTGAAAGAGGCAGGTAGGGTCTAAACAAAAGAGGCGAGTCGCATCATGGAACATACACTGCTTTGAGTTTGACTGCTCTTCATCTACTCTTGCTGGTGTATCCCTGTATTGAACTTTATTTTTCGATTTTAGATGCCATCATACATAAAACTAAAGGCTACCCTTTAGTTTTATGTATGATGGACATACCTTGAAATGATCTTAGTGAGCCTTTTGCCTGCAGAGGAGTATCTGGCTGTTTGTTCAACCTCAGGAGGAGCAATACATTACATACAAAAGCTGCTTCACGTTGTCATTAAACAGTGAAGCAGCTTTTTACAGCCTTAAATGTGCACTTGTAGCTCAGATTATACATCGCTTTGAACATAAGTGTCATGCCAGATCTTAAATACATTTAGTAAGAAGTGTTACTGGTGACCACAACACTGGGATATTGTATTGCAAAAACACAATATATAAAATTATGTGAGTAATGGCTCTATAACATGTGAGTAATGCTTCTGTAATGTGTGTTTGTGTTATAGATTATGAAATAGAGCGCTCCTTCTTCTTGAGGATGAAGTGTGTTCTTGCTAAACGAAATGCAGGACTGACATGTGGAGGATATAAGGTATGTGCAACCACTGGATGATCATTCACTCCAACACACACATGATGACGTCATCTATAGTAACTTAAGGGTTGTCATGAAGTGCCGCTTAAACAACTCATTGCTTATCGGTCATTCTCAAACAACCACGGTGTTAAACATTAAGGCTAACTTCATTAATCTCAGAAAGTGTCTTTATAGTAGCAGCTGGAGGTGTCAGGCTGGCAGCTCATTGACTAACTGTTGGCCGGAAATTGAGAAATGTTAGGTTAACCCTCCATAAAACTAGAGTCAGTGTCAGATCACTTTAATGAGTAGAATTACTTCTATCACTTCAATGAATTTAGACCCTTATAATCATTACAATCACACATGATTTGTTTCTGTTTATGTACAATAACTGCTGAACAGCCATAGTCTAATTCCCAGTTTGCTGTTCTGCTGTGCCATATGTAGGTTTAAAAGAGAGCTGCTTGGTTTTGAAAATACCAGGATCCTGCCTATGTTGCAAACCAGTGGTACAGGCAGAATATGCCATTTGGGTGGGATTAAGATGACACCAAGAAATAACTATGAAATTTAGCTATTTCTTTTTTTAATCATCATTACTACCAGAGCATGAACATAGGCTCCAACAAGCACTTGGTAAGTGTGACAAGCCCCTCAGACTAAAAAATGACAGCTGAGATGTACAGACTAAACAACAACCACAGGAAAACCAACCAGGTAAAGAAAAATTCAAAATGTTGCCATCTTACATCACAAGGTGCAGGGGGCATGGCCTGGAGCTGAATATGGCGATTTCATTGTAATCTAATGAATCTGCCAGGTCATGTTACAGTGACAGTAAGTGTCTATCACTGATGACTGCAGATGTGTTTTAATCCTGTTGGTTGTACAAAAGTGACTTCACCCTGCAAGATGTCCTTGGAAGAGTGGCAGTGACCTTTAGGAGTGAATTTATATTTGGTAAAAATATCTTGGGGGCAACTATCAAGTAAATCTATGATGGATGGACAAGTGGCATTTCCTGATTTTATTTTTGATGCTATACAACTCAAACTGGGTCAAATCCCTCTTCTGTTGTTTCAGATTCATTCAAGATAGCCAAATCCTCACTAGTTTTCTTGCAAATCTTCCTCCTCCAACTGTGGTTCTTTTAAATGCCTTGCCATGGATATTTGCTTTGACAATATATTCATACATTTTTTATTTCAAAAAAACAATATTTCTATCCCCTGACTCTTCGAGGCACTCCACAACAACAAGTGCACAGCACACACACACACACAGATATTCTCACATACAACAATGTAAGGTCAACCCTTCCCTCACTGATATTCCAGATTTTTAATTGGCCGTGATGTACTAGTGACACCCCCAGAAAACAAATCACATTGAGAACAGGTAAAAAACACAGGTATATTTAAAATATCCTCATTTGCTGGCAAGGCCTGGGCCAATCCTAAACCCCAAACTTTCTCTCTCGCATTTACTTTGAATGTGTAAATGTGTCATAACACTGGTGTCCTGCTGTTGTTTCCCAGGTCATTCACTGCAGCGGCTACCTGAAAGTTCATCAGTACATGATTGACATGGCGCTGTATGAATCCTGTTATCAGACTGTGGGTCTGGTGGCAGTTGGTCACTCCCTACCCCCAAGTGGTATCACTGAGATAAAACTCCACAGCAACATGTTCATGTTTCGGGCCAGCCTGGACTTTAAACTCATCTTCTTGGACACGAGGTAGGAGAGGCTCTTGACTAAGTGGGTGGATACATAGATGGAAGCCATGATGTCATGATATCTGGACGATCCCTGTATGGAACATAAATCATAAAAAATATCACAAATAATCAATAGAAACTAGAATTACTGCCTCATGGTTGTATGTAACAAAACCTAATCAGTTCATCCTTGAGTCCAAGTGGACATTTGTGCCAAATTTGAAGAAGTTCCTTAAAAAAGCTCCTTAAAAACCATTTGTAATTACAAATAGGCTTTTCCTATAACACATGCTTACAAAAACATGTGATGAATATAAAATATGTACACCACATGAAATAGTTAGCTGTTTATAAATATGTGGACTGCTGGATTGTTATCTGAACATTATGATGTACATTGATGCCTGTGCCCTCTCTCCTGTGTGCTGGAACCAGGGTGGCAGAGTTGACGGGCTATGAGCCTCAGGACCTGATAGAGAAGACTCTCTACCACCATGTCCATGCCTGTGATGTTTTTCATCTACGCTATGCTCACCATTTATGTGAGTCATTGAAATCTTTAACTAGTCTTATGATGGGATTGTTTGTATTTTATACTTAACTAGAATTACCTCGTGGTTGTATGCCTCCGCCACTTAGACTAGTTTCAGGTTACATATCCGGAGTCATATAAAATATTAACCATTTGTGTGAAATTTTTATCATAATTGCTGTGTGAAATCTTGAGTAATGGCAAGTTTTGTGAGGTCACACTGACCTTGATCTTTGACCACCAAAATCTAATCAGTTCGTCCTTGAGTCCAAGTGAATGTTTGTATGAAATTTGAAGAAATTCTCTCAAGGCATTATGGAGATATTACCTTCACAAGGCCAAAACCGTGTTTAGTGAGGTCACTGTGACCTTGACCTCTGACCACCAAAATCACTTCTCCCTTGAGTCAAAGTGGACATTTGTGCCAAATTCCTTCAAGTTCCTTCAAGGTATTACTGAGATATTGCTTTAACAAGGCCAAAACCGGACAGAAGGAAGGATGGACAACCTGAAAACAACATGCCTCTGGCTCTGGCTGTCGCTGGCGCAGAGTCATAAAAAACAATGAATGTTGTGGCTGCATTATATTGTTAAACTTACAGTCAGGTGAGAAATCTTTGCCTTTTCAAGGAGCTAATGCACAGTGCCTTACTGTGTTGGATTTGACCTTTTTTCTGATCTTTGTTTTCCCTGTAGTACTGGTGAAGGGGCAGGTCACCACAAAGTACTACCGCATGTTATCGAAGCATGGAGGCTGGGTGTGGGTTCAGAGCTGTGCCACCATCGTCCACAACAGCCGCTCCTCCAGACCTCACTGTATTGTCAGTGTGAACTACGTCCTCACGTGAGTCAGCACCCTTCTCCTGTAGTTCTCCATATAAAACCTCCAGTAAAATCAGTACAAAGATATGCAGTGTTTGTCTGTTTGCACACAGTGACATCGAGTTCAGTGAGTTGCAGTTATCTCAAGACCAGAGTCGAGCCACTACGCCTGGTCTCAATCTTACTTCCTCTGAGGACCACCACAAACAACTGAGAACCAAAGCTGTTAAGATGAAGACCAAACTTAGAGCAGCTCCCTATCCTGAGGTGGGACTTCCACTTGGCTTACTGATAGGAAAATGTTTTGTGACCCTGTTATTTCTTAAGGAAAATACTATACTGGCTGTCATACATACATTCACATTTTTTGTGTTAAGGGTGCAATGTGTAAGATCTGGCCAAATCTGGCCAGAATTTTAGTTTAAAATGTTCAAAAAATGAACTAACACCATCACTAGTATGTGAAGGAGCCACAGTGATGATGTCATGACCAAGACCACCACCTAATGTATTACAGAGATATCTACTGAAATGAGGATGCTAACCAACTAGCCGCGTCCCGGACTGTGTTGTAATACGACCCAGACACACTAGATGCTGTGTGAGTCAGTGTAGCATCTAGTCTGCCCTCAGCCCCACGGGGAAGGAGAGCTTCCTCCTAAACTTAAAGCTATGCTACAGCTCCCGACTAAAAAACAAAAAAAAAAAGCTGCCAACATCATCACAGAAACGCAGAGATGTCTGAAGTGCCTAGAAAGTGATCTTTATCTCCATCCCAAAGAACCGCTCCGACAAGAAACCACGTTCAACGGCAAAGAAGCAAAACACAGGTAAAGTAGATGAGACTTTTCTTTTAGACTGGTGAGTAACATCTAATGTTGGTCTGTAGCGAAAAGTGTCATCAGTGCAAATGACAAACCGTACCAGCAAACACTTCAAGTGGCATAAATGTATGATGTTGATGTTTTAGTGATTTAGTAGAATGTAGCCTGTTCCTGCGGCTGTTGTCCAGCTAGATGCCTCAGTAACTTTTTTTAGAAGTAAGACAAAGAGACAGTTTGATCCAGAACCAGCAGGTTCAGGATCCACTGCTTAATACTGTATTTATTTTAGCATATTCATATCTATCCTTACTATTTATTATATACACACAAAATAGACCTAACATGTTTGATTATTAAGAACTTGTATGATCTAAACTAATTGTCACATGTTTGTCTGTATCAGGACCAGAATTTCTGTCCAGTCCTCCCCAGTGATGGACCAGCACCCTGCCTTTTCTTCTGCGTCTGGCCTCAATCAACAACAACCACATTACAGTAGCACCCTGGAGAGAGTTTTGTCAACACTTTTGTACATAGTTTTTTTCATTGTTTTATTTTTTTAATTCGTGTATCTATGTATATTTATCTTTTTGACTGTTGCAGTATTTTACCTTTTTATTGCTATTTCCTGTTAATATGTTTATTGGATACTGCACCACACACCAAGCCAAATATCTTGTAAGTAAAAATCTACCTGGCAATAAACCTTATTTTCTGATTCTGCCTTTGTGATGATGTCATCATCCCTTCCTCATGCCGCTACAGCCTGACACCCATGTGTCATGCAGTATCCCGTTGCCTTTATATTTTTATAGGTAAATAAAAACATACTGTTTGTATTACAAGTACTCATAATTTGTTTCAGTGCTACAACAATCAACAATAAATGCACATATAAATAATAAATTATAAGGAACATGGGGTAACCAACAACATGATTAACTGGACAGGGGCAAAGAGGTGAAACAACCGTCACATGAACGTGTAACACTGAGCCAAAACCAAAAGTCCAATAAATAGTACACAGTGTTGTGCCAGTTCACACTTAAAAAGAACTTGTTCAAAGTTCAGTTTATAGAGATGAAAATTAACTAGTTCACATTCATATACCTTTTTTTTAAATTTTAAAGTAAGTTCACAGTTCCAAAAATTAACTAGTTCACGTTCATTTGTCCCGTTCTTTTTTTTTTTAATAAATTGGCTATTTTTCAATAGAACCTCCTTCTACCCATCCATCACAAGCCCCAAATCATTGCCACTCCTAAACTAAATGAATTATTGTTTACCACTGAAGAATCACAGACATGAATTACATTTGAAATCCATACATAAATATAATCCATCCGAATCTTCATTTGTTTGTTCATAAAACTGCTTCAAATGGTCAAACAAACTGGCTTCAGCAGTGGTAGATGCGTCTGTACCGCTAGCAAAAGCCATGCTGGGCCGTGTCTATGGAAACGGCATGCGGCGTGCCGTAAAACTGTCATAAAACGTGAGCGCCGTTCTCTTTCGCTTTAGTGCACGCTGCTCACATTCACATTCATCATTTGTAAACTGATTTGTTCAGTTCAGCGTTCACAAAAAATATGAACGTGGTCAAAGAACGCCATTCATTGAACGCGTTCATGCACAACAATAATAGTACATATGGGCAAATTAGTGTCTTGAAAATGTGAGGATATCCTTTAATATGAGTTTTTCCCTGTTTCCGCTCTTTGTGCTAAGCTAGGCTAAACAAAGAGATCATCAGACTGACTTTGATAGCAAACAAGTATTATATCCCAAAACATGAGACTGTTCCTTTAATAGTCTATAGGCTATATCTTACATTTGACTAAAGAAGGATATAGAGGGAAAGCCAGTAAGAGGAGCTATTTGTAAGTTTTGCTATTGCTACTTATCCAAGGTTAGCATAAACAGCTGTTTACTTTAAGAAACATTGCGAGTTCAGCATCAAATGTCATTCCTTTACTCGCCAAGAGCTGTTTCCAGCATTGGAAAAGAACCCTCTTGTTTTTCTTCTATTTCTATAACCTCTTTTCTTCTACTGACATTAGCATGCTAACCAGCTAGCTCTGACCTGGCCAGACAGTGCCATCACTTTCCAATACCAAGTCACTGTAACGTCCAGGCTGCCCTGAAGAAGTAGCTGCTCAGAGGACATATTATAACCTCTTCTATTATAAACACAACAATGGCTGAAGCTCATGCTAATACTGGCAAGTGGATAACTGTTAATGCTTTAGTTGCCTATGTAGCATTAGCAAAACTTACAAATAGCTCCTTTAATGTAACATTTCTCCAAGGATGCCTGCTACAAACTGCTGCAAACACTGAAAGAGAAGTGTGATTTTGTAACATTATGTGTGCTGTTGTGTGTTTCTGGATAGCAGCAGGTCACTAGGCTTTTCCAGTCAGACTGCTTGAGCTGCTCCCCACAGAGGGAGCTGTTAAAGGAGAGACCGCCATACCCGGTGACCCCCTGCAGGGAGAAGAGCTCCAGCTTGAGCCCTGAAGCAAGCCAGACGTCTTGCAGCCCCACTTACAATCTGACCCTCCACTACCCCAACAACCACCAGAATCTGGATGGTCAAAGCCAGCTGCCTAACTTAGTTCCCTCCTCTCAGCTGGCTCAGCAGATCATCGGCTCCCTACACAGCAGAGGGCCTGTTGGATGGAACATCAGCAGCCCCCCAGCACCAAAGAAATACACAGGTACAATTTATCTAACAAAGTTCCCATGATAAAACCTCATTAACCTCATCTGTTTAAAAAAAACAGACATCAATACTGTAAATGTCTTATTATTTCAGCTGTCATCGCCTCTAGGGTCAATTAAATTATTGTGTGTTATATATCTCAACCATTTTTCCCATCTTTCTTCAAAGATATGAACTTGATTTCTAATCCTCATGGTGATCTTTTCCATTCCATGTATCTCGTTTACAAGGTCCATCCATTTCAAAGTTTTTATCTTTTAACCAACTTCTCGTAATTTGTTTAATTATTGCTACCCTTATTATTAGGAATAAGTGCAAATCATTCTTGTTGATCTCTTCTGGTATTTTCCTAAGTAATGTGACTAGTGGGTTTTTGTCTAAAGAAATACCAAAAATATTTGACATTTCTTTAATGGAATTTTCACAGAAGCCCATTATCACTTTACATGACCAAAATATGTGACTGTGGTTTGCCATCCGCTCACTGCATTCTCTCCAACATTTTGGAGTAGAATTTTCTTTATATTTACTTTGAATTTGTGGTGTCTTAAAGTATCGACTTAATACCTTCTGTGAATATTCTTTCCAATAGTTTGAGTTAGTTTTGCACATTTGTTCCCTATCGACTAAAGATATATTACATGACAGTTAATTTTCCCATTTTTTTTTAACATTGACATAAATTTGTTTATCTTGATGGTTAACATGTATTAATTTAGCCATCTTCGTAAAGAGTTTTGTTTCAACCCCACCGTCACACATTTTGAGCATGCATTTTATCAATGGATTTACATCTTGAATAGATCTCTTTTTTAAAACATCAAAAAGGTAGCTTCTCACTTGGAAGAATCTAAATAAATGGGAATTAGGTAGACCATATTGCAATGACAGCTGTTCAAAAGATTTCATTTCTTTATCCCCAAACATCTGTCCAAATTTACACAAACCTTCAGAAGCCCACATTCTAAAAGTCACATCAGTCTTGTTAGGAGGAACGTCTGGATCAGTTGCAATTTCTTTTAAGAAAATTAAATCTTCATTCAGTTTTTGATTCTGACAGATTTCCCTCCAAACTCTTTTATTAGTGACTACTATCTATTGTCTAGATTCTCCACATATTATTTTTTGTATCTAGAGAAAGGTAGAACCGTTAGTGGTATATCTCCATTATTTAATTCAATTTCTCTCTCTCTTGCATGTGAGCTTTCTAGCATCCACACTTTCGCAGATTTGGCAAATTTAGACCACCCATTTCTTTTGGCAGATGAAGGTATTTTGTTTTTATTCTTGGTTTCTTGCCATTCCATATGAATATCATTGTAATCGAATCGATAGCCAAGCAACTGGGCATCGAGCTGGTTCCTCTGCCTGAACCCATTCTGGCACGTGCGCTTGATGGCCATCTGCTGGGCACCATCACTCACCAGACCACGCCCTTGCAGATGCTTATCTCAGGGAACCACCATGAAACGATCCAGT